AGCGTTCAAGTTTAATCGGAACAAATACGACGCCATAGAAACACTCTCGCTACGTATATAGGTATCTCTCGGTCTCTCTCTCTCTCACTCTCTCTCTATCTCTCTCTCTCTCTCTCTCTCTCTCTCTCTCTCTCTCTGTCTCTCGCTCTCTCTCTCTCTCTCTCTCTCTCTCTCTCTCTCTCTCTCTCTCTCTCTCTCTCTCTCTCTCTCTCTCTCTCTCTCTCTCTCTCTCTCTCTCTCTCTCTCTCTCTATATATATATATATATATATATATATATATATATAAACATATTAGATGCAACAATAAATATGTTGCGTGATTGTGCCATTTATGGACAGGAATTTGTGCCACCCAATGTGCTTCCTGATGATTTTCTTGGTGCTGTCAAGAACATCGATTACACCTCTGTAAGTCTGTTTGTCAAATAAATTATTAACAATTTCTCCATTGAAACGAGTTCGCTAAACTTGTACTTCATCCTATGAATGTAGCGTTTCTAAACTTATTTCTCTTCAAAGATATACGAGTTCCCGAAACATGTTCTTCTGTGTATTTGTTTTTCTTGGACAGGCAACAACGAAAATCAATTTGGCTGTGGACAAATTGCCTCAGTTTAATTGCTGCAAGATTAATAGTCCCGATGCTGGCCCTCAACATACGGGCACTATTCACATTGGTTCCGAGAGGTATTTCGTAAATTCTATGTTTCAGTTTAATATAAATAGTTCCACACATACGTTAAGCCTATTAACCAGCAACGAACATCAAGAAATGGGGAATTTCTGCGAAACTGTTTGTAACTACTAATACATGTTACTTTTCCTCTGTTTTCTTACGTGTTATTTTTTAGCACATTTTTTTTAAGTGAAACAATATATCCACTTGTACTTGTAACTATTTTGGTTGATGAAGTTGATTATCGTGAAATTTGTTGGCTGAACCAGTATGGAGGAGATCGACTCTGCTTGGCGGGATTCTGTAAATGGGATACCGTCTCGAAGACCTGTTATTGAGATGACAATTCCTTCTGTATTGGACAAGACTATTTCTCCACCTGGTACTTTATTTTATTTATATCTCTTTACTTTCCGGATATATATTTATATATATAGAAAAGAAAAAAAAAGGTCTTTAGTTGTTTACTTCTTGATGTCACTGCTATCGTGACCTTCTAGAATCTTCCGCACAGCATTGTCATAATATTTTTTAGTAATTCCATACAGGGAAACATGTCGTTAACCTATTTATTCAGTACACCCCTTATAAACCTAGTGACGGCAGCTGGGTAGATCCCGAATACAGAGTGAGTGGATACTGTAATTTTACTTGCGCTCGTTTGAAATTATGAAAATGTTTTTTTTTTAATTTAAAATTTTCTTCCGACGCTCTATTTTCTGAAAAATAATGTTTCTCATGACAATGACATTGTGTGGCACAGGAATCATTTGCTCGAAGATGCTTCAACTTAATTGACGAATATGCCCCTGGCTTTAGTTCCTCGGTGATCGGCTACGACATGTTAACTCCACCAGACCTTGAGAGGATAATTGGTTTGACAGGTAATACTGCAATTTTACTTCCGGGCTAAAGCTCGATGTTTTACCCTTCTGTACAAAGAACAATAATATGTAGTTGCACTAACTTCTAATCGTCACATAAACGTGCTGGAAATTTATTTGAAATATGAAAGTGTTTTCAGAATTCCGCATATCTTACTCCATAATCTTCATTTAGGCTTCGTAGAAGTTGTATTTTACTAGATAATACGTACATTCGTCTTACTAGAACCTGATTATTTAAAGTCGTTGCAATGTTACGACAGGAGGACATATCTTGCATGGTAGTATGGGACTAGATTCCTTGTTTCTTATGCGGCCTGTGAAAGGATGGTAATGTATTCGGGTTTTTCGTATGCATCTCTCTATCGATGAAAAAAAAAATATTAATATTAATATTCTGTTGTAATCATTTTGGATGTTAGGTCAAATTACCGGACCCCACTACAAGGTTTGTACTTGTGCGGGAGCGGGGCCCACCCAGGGGGCGGGGTGATGGGCGCCCCCGGGCGTAATGCTGCACATGCGGTGATTCAAGATATCAAGGAACAATCGTAACTTATAATGCTTCTTATGCGTTAAAAAAAAATAGTGTAGTGTTCATATGACCCCTTGCATGCGTTTCAGTTTGCTTCGACTTTTCGCTACATCAAGTTTTTCGTTTGATTTTCGAGTTCAACCTCAATTCCTATAGAAGATATTACCTAATTTAATCTCATATCTATTTGATCTTTAATTACAATTATATATTATATTTGTTTTAAATAATTTCCTGTTGTGGAATGAGTTGGTTTTGCTGGGCTTATCAGATTTTCATAATCTGATGAATATCACAGGGACAAATTTTTTTTTTTTTTTTTTGTGTTAGTTGCCCAGCTTATTCAGATTTATTTTGAAGGGGGTTTTTGTGCATAAGTTCTCAACCAAACATTTTTATTATTTTATATTTAGGAGCTATATCTCTTTCACTAATAAGCTCATTCCTTTAATATTTATTATAAATAAAGCAAACATTCATGTATATGCCAATATTATCTTCCATCCGTTATACTCAATTTTTAATTGTAACCCCAATTTAATTAATTTTGTCCACAAAAATCTAATTTTGACCATAAAAATTCAATTTTGAAAAAAAAAATCAATTTTTTTTTTTTTGCCGCCGAATTCTGGAGTTGACTTTTCAAAATTGGAGCATACTTTAATATGCTTCAATTTCATCCTTAACTTAATTTAATTTCAATTTGACCCCAAATTTCACAAATTATTCAATTTTGACCCAAAATTTATTTTTAAAAAAAAAAAAAAAAAATTGCCGCCGGTCTCTGGCGTTCACTTTTCAATTTTTTTTCCTCTCCCAGATTTTTTCGCCGGTTTCCGGCGTTGACTTTTTTTAGTGTTTTTTAAGGTTTTTTTTTTCTTTTTACGTCCGCCGCTAAACGTTGACCGTAATTGTGCTGTCACAATAAATTAACGTAATTATACTGTCAATGAAAGTTAATTAACGTAATTGTACTGCCGTTGACAATACATTTATGTAATTGTTCTGCCGTTGACAGTAAATTAACGTAATATTATTATTTTTTATTTTTTGTTATTTTTTTTATTTTGTTTGATTTGTTGACAAGTCAACGTAATTATATTATTGTCGTTGACAGTAAAATAATTGTAAACATAATAATATTACTGTCAACAACATCAATATTATTATTTTTTTGGGTTTTTTGTTTTGTTTGAGTTATTCACGGAGTGTAATAATATTACTGTCTTTTATTGTAATATTACTGTAAACACAATAATATTACTGTGGTTGACGGTAATATTACTGTTGTTATAGTAATATTGTTGTCAACCACATCAATATTATTATTTTGTTTGGATTTATTTGTTTCTTTGAGTTATTCACGGAGTAACGTAATAATATTACTGTCTATTATTGTAATATTACTGTGGTTGACGGTAATATTATTGTTGCTATAGTAATATTATTGTTACTGACAGTAATATGATTCTTTTGGCTTTTTATTATGTTTACATTTGTTGAACGGTCAACATAGTAATGTTAG